AAAGCTGGCTAAATGAAAATCATTTATAACCACTCTGTACTTGTTTCAAGTTTTGTTTCAAAATTGGAGTTTTTAAGTTGATATTTCTGGAAACTTTCTAAATTTCCCCATTTGTTTTGAAAATTTCTGATTGACATCTTTTATGGGGTAAATTCGGGAGAGATGGTCCATTTTAGGCTTCTCACTGCAAAATGTTGATTTTAATGTAATAAACCTCAAAAGATGTGTTAATTTATTCTAAATGATACAATTTAACGGATTTTATCTCATTGCAACTAGCCACCTATGTGACTGTTTCGTATTTTACAAAAAAAGTTCGACAATAATTCTCAAAAGTTTGAGGTTTGAACCCTAGTTTCAAACATTTTTTTTTCTCTTTATATTAGAAAAACGGAAGTGAAATAAACAAAATTAATCAAAAAATGTGAATAGTTTATTTATTTTGTTTTTTGTAAAAATGTTTTTTCTCAAAATACAAAATCTTTTACAACTGTTAAATCTTTAGGGTTCGATTTCTGGTGTCGAACTTTTTTTCTTTACACTCGTCTTTTCTTTTTTTCTGTTTTCTTCTTTCTTCTATAAAAATTGTTTTTTTTTATTTTTTTTCACAGAAAGAAAATTGACTTTACCCGGGTCTCAAACATTATTTTTTCTGTCTATATTAAGTGAACGCAAGTAAAATAAATGAAATTAATAAAAAAAATGAACGACATTTTTTGTAAAATGACAAAATGCAATGCAATTTTCTTATTTTTTTTTACCCTTCTTCACTCCTTTTTACTTCTTTGTTTCTCTCTAACACCTCTCTTCTTTCTTCTCTCTGTTTTTTATCTTTTTGAATGATAATAATAATAATAATAATAATAATACTTTATTCGTGCTATAAATACAACGTACTTTTGCACATGTCAAACTTAGTATACTTTCTACATGTACTAATTATTCATACAAACTTAAACTTAAATAATAAAGATAATTCTTATGATCCTATCAACATGAGTTAGAAACAAATAAATTAAATTACAATTAGATATCACTAAAGTTATTGTTCAGATATTCCTCAGTACTATAGAAACTTTTTTTAA